GTTGTATTTGGGTAGGAATGAGTACATTCTAAACAAACAAAAGAATTGGTATTATCATTAGAACAAAAATAGTTCCAGATATTATGTCTTTTCTTAGTTTTAGTCATATCGGAGTGGTGTATGAAATTTATTCGATTTAAGGGTATTATATCTTAAAATCCAAATAATAATAATATTAAAATATTTTAAATACATAATATAGAATAAAATATTTAAAATTTTTATCAATTAATAATTAATATTTTTATATAATGTCTGATTATATTATCTCTTGTATAAAAATAAAATAAAACAAAAAATAAAAATTGATAACTTATCAAAAATATGTTATTCTAAATAATTAATAAATATATTTAGAATTAATAATTTTTTGTAAATATAAAAATGTATCTTTTTTTAGTATTTAGAAAAAAAAATAGTAAATTGATTATGACAATAATAAATTATATTTAGAAATTTATTTTTCAGAAAAATTTATACTTCCAGAAAATGAATATTTTTATTTAGTTTCATGTTCAAAAGGAACACAATATGAAAGTGAAAAAATTAATGATAATATTATGAAATTACAATTAACACCTGACACAAATAATTATATTTTTTTTTACCAAATTTTAACATATACATCATATGAAGAAGGTGATGAAACAATGTTATTTAGTATTATATATAAAAAAGACAAATATTATATCTTAAAAAAATAATTATTTTACAAATTTGATAAATTTGATACATAATTATGAAACAAATCCACCTTATAATATTACAAAATTTGTTAATGAAGAAGATATATATCATCAATCAAAAAAATTATGTAATTCTGAATTACAAAAAAATACAATTTTTGATTATATAAAATTAGGAAAAATAACTGAATTTGACTAATAATATTAACGTATTATTACAAAAAATTATTTTTTTTTATTAATTTAATAATAATAAGATATCAAAATAAATAATGTTAATAATATAATAATTCATAAGTAAATCAAACTAATATATAATTATTTTTTGTAATATTTTCAATTTGAAAAACCTCATAACTCTCTATAGCAAGATTATAATTGTTAACCAATTTATCGTAAGATTTATTCTTACATTTTAAACAATAACCATCTCTAATATAAAAATCTCCTTCACCAAACATTGGATTGCAATTACTATCACAATAAATTGCAGATTCATTTTGTTTAACATACTTTACCTCACGTATACTCATGTCCATATAATCAATTAAAAATAAAAAACTATTTGTTGTATGTTTATATGTCGCAATTCCATTCCAATCTAGTGGATTATAACCGCCTATAAGAAGTGTTGTATTTTTGATTTTAGTTACTACAATAGTCGCTTCTCGATTATCACATTTAGAATGAAATGATTGTGGTGACCATCCATCTACACAACTATTATATAAACATGTGAACTTATATTTTGATCCTTTTGATGTATTATCTTCTATTTTATCTATCCATTTTATTAATATCAAAGCAATCTCTCAATTAATCATATTTGAATTGATTGTAAAATTTCCCCATCTAATCAATGACATATCCCACATTGGCTTCAAATTCGAATCTGAATAGCAAAGTAATACATCTCTAACCAAACTATCTTGTAAAAGATTTTTATAGTTCCATACATGATTTATGAATTCCTTATGACCAAATTGATAAAACCTAACATGAATGATTAAATCACACAATATTTCTTTCAATTCATCTATATTGTCACATCTATCATTACTCCATTTGATTAAATAATTCCAGATATCATTTTCTTTCATATCAAGATTATCATGTTCAATAACCAATCTTAATGCATCTTTATCCAATAAAAGAAATTCTTCATGATCAAATAATATTTTTGGATTTTCACAAATGATATTTAAAAAGTCATCCTTAAGTTTTGTAAATAATGAAGTATTAACGAAATCCAATATTTTACAAGAATGTGTTTGTGACAAGTTACTACTAATCAAATAGTCTTGTATGAAATCAATAAGTTCTTGGATCAAAAACTCATCAGCAGCAATCAAGAGTTTTAATAACATATCAATATCCAAACTTTTAAAATCTATTTCCGCACAATATAGATACTTGAGAATGATCTTAAAAATTAATGCATTGACGTTAGGTTTTGTTAAAACAAAATATCTATTTTCTTTTTTAATCCAACTTTCGGATAAAGCCCTCTGAAAAAATAAAGATCTAGTACACAAAATCAAGTAATGAGCATATATCTGTTCTTCTGTATCTACGGTAATAATTGTATCATAATTATCTTTGGAATTATATAAATAATCCAAATCTTTCAGCAATTGACTAGTGAATGTTTTAGACATATTTAAAAAAATGCCAAAGATTTTTCATAATACTAACCAACTATTTATAAATATTTAAATTGATTTATTAATAATAATATATACAAATATAATAATTAATTAATAAAAAAAACAAAAGATTCAATTGATTAATACTAAAGATAGTTCTTAATAACTTAAATAATTAACATTTATATTTTATTAATAATAAAATATAATTAACATTATTAATTAAATTTTAATATATAATAAACTTTTATTTGCTTACAATCAATATAAATTTAAACATATTACTTATTACATATTTGAAAAAATATAGTTTCATAATCTTAATTTATAAACCTTAAAATCTTATAAACATAAATTCTAATTTAATTTAATCTATTTAAAATCAAATCAAGTTTTGTATTAAATTCCAAAGATTGATTATTAAGTTTTTCATTAATTTCTTCAATCTTTTTCTTAAGTTCTTCATTCTCTTTCTTAAGTTCTTCAACTGAATCTTCATATCTTTTATTTCTTTCTTCTTTAATTTTTTTATTTGCTTTTTTAAGAATATTATTTTCATGTTCTAATTCTATGATTTTTCTTTTTCTTTCTTCATCACCTTTTTCTGAATTTTCTTTTTTATCTTTTAACAATTTAGCATGCTCTTTAATTTTATCAACAATTTGATAATAATAACAAACACAAATTTTTTTTTTCAAGAAGAGAATTATTTAGTTCTCTTAAAGCATATTCAGACAATCCAACATTTGATACAAAAAAACCAATATGATCACTATTATTTTTTCGATTAACTAAATTCAAAAATTCACGAATTTCACTAACAGGAATTTTATATTTAGGATTTTTAAATTTACATTGGATTGAGAAAATCAATGATTCATATTGACCTTTAAAAAAATAAAGTGATTAATATTATATCATATAATAATCAATGTCTACACTAGGCGACTATACAAGTAATTAGCTCACGGAAATTACGTCATCAGCCTGACCAACAGCACTTAGACCACCGCGAGTCTGTATCTCACTCCTAGCAGCGTGACTTACACATCGATTTTACACAACAAAGATATTATGTGAATACTCACCATGAATATCAATACAATCATCTGATAAAGTAAAATATGCTTCTTTCGAAAAAGAAATAAAGGTCATGTTTATGTTGGCAATGATCATGTTTTTCTCAATGATTCTGTAGATAAAAAATTCAAATATTTTTCCTTTAAGTTTATTGATTTTTGGATCTTTTGTTGGAATGAGAAAATCATCAAAGTTTTTATCCTCAAATTCAGGAATATTGATTAAAAGGTCATCAACAAATTGTTTGAAAGAAACATTGATACCAGAAATAACTAAATCAAAAGACATTTTTATGATAAAGAAAATATCAAAGACACACCACATTTTATATATTTTTAAATTAATAATAATTTATTATAAATATAGATTAATTTATTATTAATATATTATTAATATATTATCAACTTAATGCTAATAAATCATTAATAATTAAAATAAATATAAGTACAAAACATATTTTTACTATTTTACAAATAAAAATTATTGCTAAAATGACTATAAAAAAATCCAAGACCTAGATCCTACTCATCCTTTATTTAAAGATGCAGCGTTATTCATTAGAACAATTGAGAAATATGGTGGCCAAATACCAGTAAAAGGATATTATATCATTGATAAACTATTAAATTTTTCACAAGAAACTCGATTCCCAGCATTGATTCTTTCTGGATTACTCAAACTTATTAATTCAAATGAATTTAAATATGATGAATATATATATCAAAAAGAAATATTTGAAAATCTAAAGCTTGATTTAGATTTTACTCTAGAATCCCAAAAACTTGTTCACTTGACTGAAGTACCTACAGAATTAATCGTTTCAGAAGAAATGATAAAGGATCTACGAATCACCATACTTAATTATTATTTTGACGAAATTTATATTGAGAATTTTTATTCTTATGATTCTATTCATGAATTTTCTTTAGAAATGAGAGTATCTGTGATTTTAGAAGATTTACGTCAGAAATTACTAAAGAAAATAGTATTTGATGATACCGAACCATTAGATAATTTCAATTATTTGGTAAAAAAAGTAGAAAAAGAATTAGGATTGATAAGATCAAAAAATACAAAGAATTTTCGAGAATCTGTTATTAAAAATAAATACAAAAACATAATATCAGATTTTATTATTGATAAAATTATATTAGTGGGACGTTATGGATTTAATATTGAACCAGATCAGGGATATAGTAACCCACAAGTTTTGATTGATTATGTTTTAAACAAGATTATTCATACTCAAATTATTCCAATATCTTTGATCCAAAACCGATTCGATAAAGATAATCATTATGAATACCATGATGCTAAAACTGGTTTGATTACTGTTGATGGTGTCAAGGCCCTGCTTTATTCTTTAGGATATTTGAAATCCAAATAAATTCTTTAAAGTTCAAGTTATTTGTAAAAAATCATGTTCTTCTATTTACATATATTTTCAAAATTGAAATTTATGAATTTAAGTCATATTTTAAGAAATGTACTTTAAAAATATTTAATAAAAGATTATGATTTACCCCAATATTTGGGAATATGAAAAAATATAATTCTTGATTGACACAATCATTACTGTTTTAAAAATTGATTTACTAAACAAAACAACTTTATGAGATTTGGCAAAAATGAGATGTGTTGATCATGGTGCAGCTCTGCTGCAACAGGATCATAAACATCGAGGCGTTTGCCATATCGTAATGAAGTTGCAGCAACAGTTTTGCCAAGCTTTACTTGTAAAGCAGGTCTAGCACCGCGACATATTCATACAAGGATAAAATCTGTGGGTATGAATGTTTTTATAGACGTTCATTACGACGATATAGTGCGAGATTGGGTATCGAGCCCCATTATCGGTAAAATCAGCGATTTTACCAGCAATGGGGGAACACTATATCAACGTATAAACAGATACAAAAACAAATCGAAAATTTAAATTAAAAATAAAATATATAAATCGAATTAATAAATAATCAAATGAATTATTAAATGAAAATTGTTTATTAATAATTGAAATAAAATATAAAAGATGTCTATTTGGTTCTTGATCAATAACGAAATGTCTTTATTTTGTAAACATTGTAACAAACAAAATGACCATGAGATGATTTTCTGTTTCAAAACACAATGTAATATTTGTAATAGGAATGGACACATAAATATTTATTGTCCAACACTACCATATCGTATATGTAAAACACCAGAACATACATTAAAAGATTGTAAATATCGAAATATTTATTCGAAGAATTACTTTAAACAAAAACCCAACAAAAAGGGAAATTTGAGATGTGGGTGTTCATATGAAGAAATTAAGAAAAGGATAGATGAATTATTGGAATATTATCAAAATACATCAAAACATAGAAGATATCATTGTTGTGAATGTAAAGTTATTTTAACTATAGATAATATTTATGAATTAGAAGATAATATTTTTAAATATAAAGGATGTTATAAAAATTTTCATATGGGATTGAACGAAAATGATGAAAGAAGAAAAGAATATATTCAAAGTTCTGAATATCAAAGATATCTTGTTAATTGTGTTGTTTGTAAGAAAGAACATAAACGAGCATATTATTTAGATGGAATTGGTGATTTTTGCAATATTCATCATCAAGTAGCATATAAAGTATATCAAGATATCGAAAACCCAAATAAAAAATTATGGATTCATATTCGACATTGGACAGATACGAGCAAAACAAGATTATCAGCATATCTGATGAACCAAATTGCTATATTAAGAACTGTTTTAATAATGAAGAATTTATTGAATATATCATACGATGAAGCTTTAAAGGAACAAAATGGAGATTTTTTCAATAGTGCTGGTACCACAGATGACAACGATTGGTATGAAGAAGATTATACATTTGAAAGAATTGTTGATAATTTGATATCACCAGAAGAAATGAATGAAAAAGAAAGATTGAGAAAATTGATAATTGAGTCTTTTAATTTTGGATCTAATATTGATATCAAAGATATTTTAACAAAATTACAAAAAAATTATGGTTCGTTAAAGAGAATTACATTTTGTAAATCTTGTTGGTTAGTTGATTTAGTTGAAAGAGTTAAAAATAATTTATGTAGTAAGTGTAATAATGATGGTAATAATGATGATACAAATAATAATGAAATTAATAATGAAGAGATTAATAATAATGATATAAATGTGCGTATAAATGAATTGATGAAACAGATTAGTGAAATTAAGTTAGAATCAGAAAAAATTAAAATAGAAAATGATAAATATAGAAAACCCTTTGTATTTCTTAAACAATTTTTAAATTCAGTAAATAGTATTAATAATGATGATGATAATTTAATTTTATTATAGATATTTTATTATAGATATTTTATTAATAAATATATAAATATTTTAATATTCAATGAATTGATTACTATATTCAAGTAATTTATTTAATTTATTTTCAGAAGTTTCATCTGCAGAAAATTCTATATTTAAATTGATTAAAATTTGATCTATTGTTAATATGTTGTTTTTTAATTCTATTTTTATTTGATTACATTCTTCAGGTGATATATAATTATCATTTTTTTTATTTAAATCTAATATTTTTTGATATACATAATGAGATATTTCATGAAGTACTCTTTCAGCATAATAATAAGGGTTTAAATTTATTGCATTTTCTGTAATAGCACCGATTTGATTTTTTATATTATGTTTAAAATCAATAAATTTTTTATTATTAAATCCCCAAAATATATCATTATTATTTATCCAATTAACAAATTCTTTGACAGCTATTATTGCATGCTGTCTCCATGGATGTTGTTGATGAAAATAACCCCAATAATCAATAGCTATTTTAACTATTTCATCGATTTCATTTTCAGACAATTTTCGTTTTTTATTTTTTAATAATTTATGATAACTACAATGAGTAATTTCATGAATCATTATTTCTTATGTAAAAACAGGATTGGGATTATACGAATTAATCATAATTGATCCGATTTCAGTTATCATATGATTTCTTAACCAATCAAATTCATGATTATAATAAATCCAGATTTTATTATAATTATTTATAATATTAATAAATTTTTTAAGTCTGATTTTAGCATGGTTTGTATCTGCTGAATGTCTTGTATTCCAATAATTAGTCCAATTTTCAATACCATCATTAATAATTTCATCAATTTCATTTTCAGATAATTTATTATTCATTGAGAAATAAATTTAATAAATTTATTAAAAAATGTCAATAAAAAATTAATTACTACATTTAAGTAATTTTTTTAATTTAGTTTCAAGTGTTTCATTAAAAGAATATTTTATATGTAAATTATTCAAGATTTGATTTATTATTAATATATTTTTTTCCATTTGTAATTTCAATTGATTATATTCATCCATTTGAGATTTTTTATATTGGTGATTATACATGTTTATTTCTATGATTTTTTGATAAACATAATATGATATTTCATGAAGTGTTCTTTCACTATAATGATAAATATTAAGAGATGATACATTTAATGTACTGGCAATAACTTCAATGTTTATGTTATGTTTAAAATCATTAAAAATTTTATTGTCGAAACCCAAAAATGTATCATTATTATTTATCCAAGTTATCTATTGTTTAACCCATGTTGCATTTTTCCAACCCCAATAACAAATAAGTATTTCAATCATATTATTAATATTATCTTCATTTAATTTTATCCTTTTATTTTTTAATATTTTTTGATAACAATAATGAGTGATTTCATGATTCATTATTTCTTCAATGATAGGTTTCGGATTTGAAGAATTTGGTATGATTGTTCCAATTTCTTTAAACATATCTCCTCTTAATGAAATAATTTTTGTATACAACATATTTTGTTATAAGTGTTTAGATAATTAATAAATTTTAATAGTTAGTTTTATTTACTAAATATTTTGTATTCCAATTATCAACAGCTTCATTGATAATTTCTTTAATTTCAGTTTCAGATAATTTATTCATTTATTATTAATTAAAATTTAAACAAAAAATCAGTACATTCGATGATTTTATCTATTTTTTTTTCAAGTGATTCTCCTTGTATAATATCAATATTTAAATTTATTAAGATCTTATTTAATTTTAAAATTAAATCATTATTGTTTTGATCATATTTATTATCATTTGAGATTTTTTTAAATTGATTTATTTCATTTATTAAATTTTGTTGTTTAAGTTTATTTAATTCTATTAATTCTTGATAAACACGATGTGAGACTTGATGAAGCATTCCTTCAGCCCAATAATGAATACCTTTATTATAAGCATTTGTTAAAATAGTTTGGACTTGAGAGAATGCTTGATTTCTTATATTGTCAATATAACCATCACCATAATTTCCAATTTTATAAAAATTATTGATCATATTAATATAATTTAAAAGTCCAGATCTTGCTTCAGATGTATTATGATTTTGAATACCAAATGTATTAGTCCAATGATTGATAGTATGATTAATAATTGCATTTATTTTATCTAATGATAAAATTTCCATGGTTTTTTTTAATAATAAAAAAAAAAGATTTATAAAGAAGAAGTAAGAACAAAAAGTTTTAATAATCAATAATGTCGTTAAGTAATTCAAAATCACCAATTTGCGAACAAAATGAATTACTTGAAGATTTGAAAAGAAAACTTGATAATATTGAATGTTTTTTAGATGGAAAACATGAAAGAAAACATTTATTAAAAAGATTGATAAATAATAATCATGAACACAAAGAAGAAACAAATTTTACCGATTTTATTGATTTTTACAAAAATACATGGTTAGATAGTGTGCAAAAAGGAGTTAATTATGGAAATAGTGTTTTTCCAGTTATAGGAGGTGCAGTTGGTGGATTATTAGCATTCGGTGCTGGTTATTTATCATTTGGTACTGTAACTGATATGTATAAAAATGAAAAACTTGAAAGATTAATGAAATTAGCATATTATTAATTATTTTTTTTATAAATAAATAAGATGTTTTAAATATGAAATAAAAAAAAATACAAGATGACATATGAATTTAAATTACATTTGTTAAAAATAACAAAGGAATTAAAAGATCAATTTGAAATTGATGTAAAGGATGAAACATATCGTCAAATGGGATTGAAAAATCCAGAAATTGAAAATGAAGATAATTTCAATTGGTTTCGAGAAGAAGTTACAAATACAATGTTAAATTATTCTTCTTTACTTACGATTGAAGATGGAATAAATAATTTAAAAGAATACAAGAATTCTGAAAATTTTAAATATCTTGTTAATCGTGAAGCAATGCGACAGTATAGACAATCTAAAAAGCAAAAATTAAATGAAGAAATTGAATATTATGAATTAAAAAAAGAATATGAAACAGGACAAGATCAATATGTTATTGAAGAGGATCTTGATAATATTATTCAAATTTTAAAATATGATTTTGATTTAAAATTTAAAGAAATGATAGAACAAGAAGCATTAAAACACTTAAAGGAAAAATATCCAAATCAAGTGATTATTAAAAGAATACTTGATAATTAATAATGAATTTTGGTTATATAAACAGATTATTTTTATTTTAATTATGATATTCCAAAATGAAAATATTATATTTTATCTTATTTTTATTTATTCATACCGTATATTGTTATGAAATTATCGATTGTTTACATGAATTTAAAATCGAATCTGAATTAATAAAATCTAAAATTTTAAGAAGACAAATTTATTTATATGACGAATTACAAATTATCACGAAAAAATGTAATATCATTCTTGACAAATATTCAAGAGAAGAATGTTTAATATTATACCGAAATAATCAAAGTTTATTTAAGAATTATCTTACATTTATCAAAATGATGATTAAAACACATTTGTATAGAATCAATAAATTAAACAAACTTATAAAATCAGAAGACGAACGTATATCAAATTCAGAATTTTAATTATTAATAATAAAATATAAAATATTTTTATTTAATACCAAATTATTAATATCAAATTTTTATAAATAACATTTGGCAAGTAAAAAAAAATAAAAAAACAGTATTAGTAATTATTCAATAAAATAATATTTATAAAATGTTAAGTTTTTAGAAAAAGAATTATGAGAAAAATATTTTAAGATGCCACAAGAAATACTAATATTTGAAGAAAGTCTAGTAATTATCAAACAAGATTTTTCCAATCACATATATCTAAATATATTTCGAATGTAGTGTATAGAAACATTTCTTTGATTTAGAATTTAAATTTTCTGAAGAAGAACCAAATACTATAAAATCATATTTAAGTTTTGGAAATAATACCGAAATTAGAAATATGACTTTATTAAATGAAATAAGATGTGAAA